GCCCTGGTAGACAGAAGGGAAGCACAAGGACCCAGCGCCTCGGGATCACGAGGGCTGATTCAGAAGTACAAGTTTCTAGTGTTTCAGCCTCTGACTTGATGTGCCAGAGCCCAGGCCTTAAGATCGGCCGCAAAGCTCCACCCAGGAGCGAGTCCAGGTGCCCCCTGAGTCACCCTGAGGGCAAAACGAACCAGAGTCAGAAAGGCACCATCTCAGATGAAAGCTAAGCAATGCAGCTCGAGCTAAGTTGATCCTATCCACGCAGCCCGAGCCACTTAATCGTGCAGCACCTCCAAAAAAGGGGCACTCGTGGCCTGAGGTGCCCGGCTGTGCATCAACAGCGCCYGCGAGGCAAGGCCTTCTGCTCTGCGCTTGGCAGAACGGGGGCAGGAYGAAACGGCAAGTGGAAGCAATGAAAGAAATGGCTAATTTTAGAAKGACTGCTCTAAAACAGTCCAGGGCCATTTCCTAATGCCCAGGCAATGCAAGGCCCGCGGCACTGACTCACGAACGTGAGGAAATCACCGGACAGCCTGGATCCGGATACATCAAAAAGCAACTTCCTAGAAAGGCAGGAAAAACAAAACAAAATAAATCAAAAAATAAATTAAAAAAAAAAACAGGTTTGAAAAGGAAGGCGGTGTGTGAGAGAGCACTTGACCTCTAGCGAAACAGCCGTGTTAATTCAGACTCAAATTAAGCAACGTCAAACTAGAAACTGAAACAAACTCATGCCCGCAACATGACTCCTGGTGAATACGTGCTGGTTGTGCCTGTTGTGTTTCCCTCAATAGGCCAGCTACACCAACACCTAGGCAGTAATATTAGGCAGTGATACAGCCTGTATTCTCTCATAATTAAACGTACATTTTGACAACTGGATGATAAATTCTGACTTGAAAAATGAAATTCTTTTCCACTCATTTTACACCTGGTCTCTTTTGGCTTGCAATTCCTTGTAATTTGGTAGTGCTTTCACCGCACTGAACAGATGAATGTCAACCACTAATGTGTACAAGCCTCAGATATGATGTTGGTCATTTTTGAACTCTTGGCAACTTTAAGCTCAACAGGCTGATCCACAATTATCTGTTATTTTTGGAGCAGTAGAGCTATACTCAGTCACACAAATTACAAGACAGTTACATGTGCATCTTCTAAGAACATGTTTTGCAAGTATTTCTTTACCTATATTTTTAAATTCCTGGGATATGGAATGCAAAAAAAAAAAAACATACCAACATACACGGCAAATGCATGTCACAGCCTTGCAAGACTCTTACAAGGCTCTTASTAAGTTTTCAGAGTCTCCCCTTGCTACTTGCTGTATATTGAATCTTCTCTGTCTTCCTGTTAACAACTAAGGGGCGGAAGGAAAATACTTCTGATTAATGAAGATCCAAACTGGCTTTCAAACAAATCCATTAAAGAACTGGACTGTTTCAGCCCTCAAAATTTGCCACAGATACCTCTGCACCCTATTAGTGCAATAAAAGTGAACATGTGAAAATATATATAAGTGAAAATGAAAAGACCAAGGAAATAGGGTTTCAGAGACCTGCCGCAGAGTCTGTCAGGTACTCAGGGATCACAGCTTAGAAATTCACTTACTCAGTGTAAATCCAGTTCAGTTATATTGACTTTTCTTTCCCTCATGGTATATTAGTGTTCATGAAAAATCTTGCAGGGAAAGCCCTAGAGGAGAAATCCTTTGTCTACACACAAATGCACTTCCCACAGCCTGCTCTTTTGTAACAGGCGTAAGGGTTGTTCCTATTTCTACAATAATCACAAGGCCAGGCACTCAACTAAGACATAAATAACAAGGGCTTTGTCATAGACACTCCTCTGGCTCTAATTCAGTGCTATCTACACCCATTTATCTTCCCCCGTCTCCATCAAACATATGAACAATTATGGGCAGTCTGCAGAAAATGTGACTGCAATTCAGCTCAGACCACCCTTTTAGTCACCTCCACATCACTGCTAGATTTGAATTCACTCAAGCCAAACTTCTTTTCTTATAACAATCATTTACCAAGCCAAAGAGATGGCATTTACAAACAATTCCAACAACTCCATAGAAGGAAACAAAACAGGGCAGGATGTGAGAGGCTGTTATATGTCAACACAGTAAATACACTTAACCAAATCCTCAGCTGGTGTAAATCAACCTTCCTCCCTCTGGTTTTACAAGGGCAGCACAACCTGATGCTCAACATATAATATGAAAAACTTCATTCAGATAATTACAGCATTATAAAATCTTAGAGATTATTGACCCTGTATCTGGCACCTATTTCAACTGATCAACATATTCTCAAGGCCTCGGAATAGGAAACATTCCTACAGACAGAGCATGCTAGGATGCAAAGTCCCTCATTAACATTTCAAAACAAGGAGTGGCACAAAGTCCTTTCCCCTGCCCATCTCTCTGGGGGTCCTGGAGACCATTCCAAGAAGAAGAATAGCAGGAGTTGCAGTAGCTCATTGCTGCCTACACAGGGAAACTTGAAGAGCACAGAACATAGAGTGCACTCTGCACTCTACAGCAGAAGGTGCTGAGCCAAATTTGGGGTCTCCTGTTACCAGATCATGTAAAAAACATGCACTTTGACACATTAAAGATTTAGTTTCCTACCCTTAAGGAATTACAACTGTACCCAGCCTGTAGTAATCCCAAACCATAGCTTCAGGGCATCTTTCAGTGGCCTAAGTCTGGTGTTTCAATTACACAGAGTGTAATTGAACGAGAAGAAGTGCAAACGCCTGCCCAACCAGYTCAACCATTCCCCCCTAAGCAGCAGAACTGGGAGCCAAATTCTTCCTGTGCCTGGGCGCACATCCATGGAGGCTAGGAGAAAAAGTAGGAGTTGACAGCACCAGGACTCCTACAGGTTCCAGTGCTCAAGCGCTGAAGATACAATTCGTGTTTTTATTACTTAAATTAGTGAGAGCTAGATTTACCTGCCACCTTAAAAAGGTGAAACACTTCTGAAGACAAAGCACAAGAAGAAAAGACTCACACATCAGAAGACTGTTGAAGAAACTTTCTAGGGGTGATCTCCAGCTTGCTGCCCTACATCTCAGCCTCCAACCACTGCCTTTCCTCGTCACTTCTTTCCAAAAAATATACGTGCCTGCCTGCTTCATGTGTCAGCAGCTTGGAATCTGCCAGTGCCTACTGTATGCTGAGGCACACAGCAYTGAATGCTGGAGGCAAAGTCCCGTCCAAAAAGTGCCCGCATGTAAGCCTAAAACAAACAAAGCTCAAAGCTTGATAAGAAGAGATGTCAGCGAACTGATGGAAACACTTTATGTGTGAGAAATGTCATTGGCTTAGCTCAACATTAGCTGCAATTCTCAAACATTGACTTTTCTGGCTCCCTTCTAAGCGGGAGGAAGCTCAGGAGGGTTTTCCGGTGCCTTCCTTGCTCAGGCACGCACAGGACAAGCAGAGGCAGCAGTGAGTGCTGCCAGCCCTGTCCCCTCTGCCAGAAAGCTCCGGAAATCTGTGACCACCAACCCTGAGGGATTCACAGCCCTCCCATACCCAGAGATGCTTGTCCCATTCTCACAGGGTGGCCTTTGACAGTGGGAGCGCTAAAGGAGAAGGAGATCTTCATTGGCGCAGTGCAGACGTCAGGGAGAATAATTACMCGCCCAACTTCTTTCATCCTCCCCATAAGCTCTTCTCTGAGCATCTGTGAAGCTTCTTTAAATCTTTAAATTTAACCTTCAAATGTTAGCATTTCTCCTGTGCAGGCAGTTCCTCTTCAGGGCTTTTTCATGCATTTCCATGTAAGCAGCATTAAGTCTCCTAAGAGTCAATAAGGGCCAATATGCCAGTCTGTGTTCCCAGTCATGTACAGAATTCAAACTGAATTAGAAAGTCAGATTGTATTCATGAAAACAACATTATGTAGTAAATGCAGCTTTACCACACTATGTAACAGACATCACGGATCTTTGGGTAGTTCTCAGTTCTTTATAAATGTACTTAAAATCACTTAGACTTCRTTTTGCACACACACTATATATAGCAATTCTCTTCATAATCAAATAGTATTTAAAACATTTACTGCCTTGTTAAATCTAACAAGTCAGATTTATTGGGATAGTCACTTCCCTTAATAGCCAATTTAGTAAAACTCAATGTATTCATTGATGTATAAATATATACTAGGCAGTTGTTAAACCTTACTAAATATGTTTAATAGTCAGCTGGCATTTTCTCTCAATGGCAGGACTTCCTCTCAGTTGCCAACGGGAAATGCTGGTCCTGAATGTGCCAATTCAACCCACACGTAGGGAACAAACTGATCTGGAGGAGCAAATGAGGGCATGAGATTGAGATACTTCCCTGCACTCTCCGTGYGACACTTGGTGTCCCCAGAAGAGCTCCAGCTCAGGCTGCAGTTGCTTCCCAGCAGTGCTTTCAGGTGTCAGAGAACACACGGCACAAGGAAGAGTCAGAGCTACTGTGTCTGTCTGGACTTCAGGCAGGTAATGGGCCACGGCAGAAAGGCCATCAGGCTTGCTGAAAGCCATACAAATGTAGCCTTAAATTATTACTGCAACTTAACTGTCTCGCTGCACTCCCTGCATCATGCAGATCATCTCACATTCTGGCTGCCCACCCTGTCACTCTGCCTGCTGATCAACAGAGTAAATTATGATGCCTCGTGTTGTAGGTAGGAGATCTAAAAAATATTCTTTTCAGGTATCTAAACATAAAAAACAAAACAAAACAAAACAAAAAACCCAAGCCTTAAGCGCCTGCATCATTAGACAACTAAAAATCTTTACAAATCAGGACCTTAGCGCAAACTCTGGAATTTCATGGCTCAACTCCTAGTCCCAGGATCTTTATTTTTTTGAGGTTGAAGGCCGCGATTGTATTGACATGAAAAGAAAGCAAACCACACCACCTTTAAGGTAAAAAAGTCTGTGTTTGTGCTTTAGGCTGCAGAGTTTGTCCATAGCTACAAAACACTCACCTGGGTGGGATTATACAGCTCCTGGAGTGGGCTTCTGGATCCCTTCCGACAGCAAATGTCCATCCCAAATGGATTTCTACGCATTACTGCAGGGGGAAATTGAAATTAATACAGGTTAGCTATATTTGCTAGACGTAGCCAACTACAATACCCACAGCAAGAGCAGACTTCCTGACAAACCCGGGAGTCAGTCATATTTTAAATTCCGATTTTTGCTTTGCTTACAAAGGGTGCGAGAGCGAAACCCCTGATGTGCTGCCGAAGTCGCTCACCTGAAGCTCCCCTTTGGCTTCCCTCCTAGAAAAGCTGCCAGGCAACAGCAGCCAGCAAACTGACAACGTGGGTGCCCACAACGTCAGGTACGGGCACCGAAGCCAAAGRCACCTGATTTGCAGCAGTGTTAGGCACCTCCATCTGCAACTGTCATGAGAGACGCAGGAATTCCTACAATCAGCAACTCTGGGGGACAACCTGGGTTCCTCTGATGCAAACACTAAGGTGACAGAAGGATCCTAAGACATCTAAATTTGTATCTTTTGACCAATAGCTCCCGTCTCCCTTAGAACAGACGCTCTGCAGGACACAGTGCACACACAAATCAATCACTGCAGCACTTTCTTGCTCCAAATCACATTTTCCTTCACACACTGCAATTGAATATTTGACTGATACCAGTCAAACCAATCAACACTATGTTAGCACAGCTGGATACAAGCAAGTTTCCAAACCAGAGACCTTTTCAAAGGGGTGGTCCAGGGGCATTTTGGATTGCAAGCACTGTCAGCAAAGAGCTTGGTCTGAGCCCTGGCAAGCAGAGCGCATCGATTTCCAGCTAGACCCGTTGAGTCCAGAACGGTCCGAAACGACAAGTCTGAAASTGGGCCAAGCGAGACTCCATGTGCAGGCATCTCAGCTAGGGGAAACTCGTCAAGGGAAAATTAGGATGTGACCCAAAAAATTAAATAAATAAAAGAGGATGTTCACCTTGGTGGGAATGCAAAGGCATTAAGCAGAGGCAGTTATGAGAGGTTGCTGCACTTCATACTCAAGTGTCCTGGAGCAAYGGTCCCAACCACCCCACTTGCAGTAATGATACTGCAGGCTTCAGGCCAGTAATTAAAGAGCGCAGCCAAGTAATTTTTCATACAGAGAGCTAGGGTTTACCATACTATCATAATTGATATGTCAAGCAGCATGAACAGGGCAAAGTCTCTGCAGAGTTAGGACACTGTACATAACTTCAGTCTGGAAATGTAATAGATTCCTTCGCTCACTTCATATTTATTTTTAAATTAGAAGGTAGTTATCTAATGAGGTGCCGTGTTGCTTTTCCTCTGAGCAAATAAAAAGGATGACATGGGTTTTGTAATAGGACTCAGGTGTATGATGCTTAGAAAACAAACAGTGTTTTGACTTCCCTCATCATTAGAATAGTAGGTGATCTTACAGACTATAATTTTGGTTTACATGTTTAAATATATGAAAAAAAAATGCTAAGAAAGGGGCAAGAAGCATCCAGAGCTCTAGCCCCACTGTATTTTTGGGCTCACACAGTGCTCAGAGCAGCTTTGAGAAACCTTTTGTGACTCCTTCACCATCACAGGATCCCCTTCCAGACCAGAGCTTCCAATTGAACCACAAAAACATCGTCACACAACCCGTTTAGCTCCCACCACTTCTATCTGAAGTCCTGAAGTAAGGGAAAAAAAAGAGAAAGGTCAATGTTTCAGTGTATCCAGGTCATTACCTTGGGATTAAGCAGTGTTTTGGAACAGTGATTCTTTGTTCCAAAAAGAAAAAGAATAATTTGTGTGTGTTGTTCCCCAATTTATTACTGCGTTTTTCTATTCCATTAAATACAGTAAACAGTAACAGGCATAAATACAGCCCTTGCAGCTTTATTTAACCAGCAGGTATCAACACAGCAACACTTTATATGCGGCTCTAACAGCCATAAAGCTTAAATTATTTGCACACTGTGCAGGATTTGATTCCAAGACATAAACAAATAAACAAAAAGAAGGCAATTCTCTCCCCCACAAAAGCTAAATGTGCAGGTAGGACCTTAGACAAAGAAACCATTAAATCTTTATGATTCCCAATACTATTTATTTGGTTTATTTTCCCAATAAAGCTTTTAAAAGACGACTGTGGAGTTCGCACAGCAACACAGCAGTTAAACACAGCGCGTGGCTCCCTGCTCCTCAGTGCCAGGAACAGCAACACGGACACAGCCTAAAGCATCACCCTTGTGCACGCCTGGAAAACAGCAACCCGGTGCAACACCRGGATACAAGGGAATACTCCCCTTCAGAAGCTCAAATCCCACTTACATGGTTGGCAAATTGTTCGTAAGCAGACAGTTATCCATATGGTACAGCTGGGAATACTTTCTGGCATAACTGTGGACAAATTCGCTCATCTCAGGCTTCTTGCATCCTCTGTTCTACTCCCAGCTTTCCAGAGCAGTGTTTTATGGCGTGAGTGACGTGGCCTCTTTGGCCTGAATSTCATTCAGAGCAGTCTATGGTAACATAGACCCACCATGGAGGCTAACTGCCGTTATACCAATCTTACCAACAATTTCATTAAGTCTCCTTCACAACATTGTGATAACAAAAATGGGGGGGAAGCAAGCTCTTTATCTTTACTGAATCTTCTTCTTATTAACATAGTAAATAGCTAAATTTACATTTTACAACTTGAGCTGATCTCCATACATAATTATAGTTAATTATAATCTAATAGTGAGTATTGCATATGCATGGCTCCACGGACTGATTAAAAGATCACGTTCAAGCACAATAAATGTGCGAGGCAGCTGAAAACTGTAGATAGCGCCTTGAAGGATTAGAGAGTTGTGGTAATACTGCAATTGCAGGAAAAAAAAACGCAATTTGTCCAGTTAATTTGGCCAGGCCGACTGTGAGCAACTGAGGGACCTGCCTAGAGAGCAGCACTCCAAGAGTACAACTCTTTTTCCATCTTCAGGAATGACTTGTCCAGAATGCCCCAGGAGCCCATCTTGCTGGAATCAGTGTGATCGGTATGRACCAATGTAACAGCAAGTCTGGAGAGGATGTCTTCCAGGCACTAAATTTAATTTTCTCAAGAAAGRAAGATAAATAGCCCTGCTGAATTTTAAGTTTATCAACACAATAATCACCTCTCTATGCATACAGGGAGGGGGGGCAGGTCGCAGGCCTTTAGCTCTCTCAGAAGGATGCAAGTGCTACCTGTAGGAAACCCTTCTTAGACCTACCAGGCTAAATCAGAGAAGCAATTTAACCTGTGAGCACCTKCAGTACTCGTCAGCCAAGCACCCTTCCAGTATCTACCTGCACTAAAGAGAGCAGAGGTTTGGTCACTGCCTTGGTCCATTGGATGACTACCAGTTAAAATGCAGATTCTCCAAATTAAAAATATTCTTTGGGAAGGCCAAGCTTGAGGGCATACTGAGRGTGTTCAGGTGCCCTGGGTCACTCTCCAGGCCGGGCAGCCTTTGCACCTCCAGCTCCAAGCAGGCTCCCACCTCCCAAGCCTTTGCAATGCCCTCCCGCTCCGGTGCTGGTCCTGGGGGCAGAGGCACAGAGAGCAGAGCTACCAGAGCTACAAGGCACCCAAGGGCACACAACAAGGTACCTACTAGAGCACGACATCTCCTGGAGACAGAGCTACCTTCTTGTCTCTGTACTTGGTGAAMGACAACGTTCTAGAGGCTAAAGATCATTCGCGTTGAAACATGTGAACCAGGTGTACGGGATCACCTCGGCAAAGCGCAGAGAGCCTKTTATAATCCACTAGATGCTCTACAAAGACCCTGTGCAAGAATGGGAGGCCCCTGGTATTCTGTCAGGGAGAACCCTGTCAGGAGGAAGTATTAGAAGTAAGAGGCCACAGAAGCATAAATTCAGCTGCTCCCTACCAAGGCTTGCAGAGAAGTTGAGAGAGGAGATGGGTAGCAATTTTCTAGGGAGGTTTCTTGCTCAAAAGGAATACAGGAACTATTCAGAAAGAAAGAGAAATAAAAAAAAAATTAAAAAAAAAAAAGAAAAGAAAAGGAGACACCTCAGAAAGCATGCGAAGGACAACAGAAACCATTCCCCAAAGCCTGGGTTGGATCAAGTAGCCCAGGACACTCTGCCAAGGAGAGCGGCCAACATCATTGTCACCTCTTTCCTTRCAGTTACAGACACAAACAAGCGGCCCTCGAAGCTCTGGGTACCCTCATTCAGCCGCCAGCTACGTCCTACAACCATCCCACCACCTAGAAAAAGGTCAGGTGCTGCCCTTTCCGAGACGTCTGTGCTGAAGTCGAGTGCTCTGCTTGACATCCAGCAACAGTTTCCCTACACGGTAGTGTTTGATTTACACGGCTTCTGCTTTTGTAACTACTTCTGGTTTGCAAGGTGAGAAAAAACAAATGCAGAAACGTTATCTCTCTTCACGGCTTCTTAATATCTGAGAAAAGTTCTGAGGAGACATTAATATTTAATTTTTTATTACATTCGTCTAAAGAACAAAGATAAAATTCCCCCCAGTCCAGCACTGCCTAAAACTGATATACATAATTTATTCTATTTAGGGTCCATGCCACCTCACTGTGCAAAAAGTGCTGGATGTGGCATCATCCGCTGTTTGTGGAGACTATGGGTTGGAGCTGAAACCCACCAAAAGCAATGGGAGTTCCACTTAAATAGACTTCAGGGACCTTATAGGTAGGAAAATAACCACAACTGACTTGTTTTAAGGATATATATATATATATACACACACATATAGACAATTCAAATCTCTACATATATATATATTTTTTTAGACTGAATTGTCTATGAAGGCTGAAAGGTGACAACGTTCTGCTTGCTTCCAGCCAAGTGTTGTTCCATCCAGCACTGCTGTTCCCCTGCCCCTACTCTGAGGTTGGGGTGAAGGGTTAAAGGTTTCCACAGAGGAACAAGTTCTTCGCAGCAAAGAGCAGAACCATAACCCAGCACCTTCTGCTGCGGCCTGAAGCACACGGGAGGAGGCAGAAAACCCATCTGAGCATCAGCTACCAGACCAACGCCCCACAACTGCAGACTAGAGA